TGAAGGAACATGTGTCGTAGCTTTATGTATTGACTCATAGATCAATGCATGAAAGAAGAGTCGACAGCAATATCTCGATCATTTCGAAATGGAATAAAATTCTGAATACAGGGTTTGATAGACAATGTGTCACTCTACAAAACCCTATAACTCATTAGATCCTGTAATGTAGCTTAACAGAGTTTCTGTAAATTGATCTTGACCCACTCATTTGGGTGAGTGACTCTTAGTGTGTAACGAGAAAAGTTTTTACTAGATGGACAAAGAATTTTAAAAAATGTATGGGCAGATGCGCCAAGTGATACCGAGCAAGAATATATAATTAGAATTGAATTTTCTCAATATCTTGAACAAAAAGTCAAATACTATATAGTTTGCAAAGTTTGCTAAATTTTTGATATTTTATGATTTTTGAAAATTTCAGCTAAACTTATGTGCTCAATATCTCCACGAAGGAATTATATTTTAAGCTGAAATTTTTACCATAAACATAACTCATTGATACCTACCAGATAAGATATATTTCAATCGATTTTGAAGACATGTGTGTTTTTGTGGGAGAAACCCCATGGAAATACCCATTAACGATTAAAAGGCGATTAATCTTAGTAATCATTACTAATCTACTAAGATCAAACGAAAAGAAAACTGAAACGAACATATTTTCATTAATGGTTGATCGAAAGAGAGTCAATACCAAAACATGGATTGTCCATTTGTACATAAACTGTTTCAATTTCACTTAGTGACTTCAATCGAGACTGTCATGTAGAAATGAATTTGATTCTCTGATATTCATCAATTTCAAGGAATCGAATATGATATTTCATTGGTCCAACAGCAGAGAAGAAGAGGATGTCGTGGACAAGAAAGTAAAAATCGACACCATTAAGTGTCTTCTTTGGATCTGTTCGTTCATTGTGAAAAAAAATGAATAGTTGATTTTATTCTTCATCAGGATGGAACTAAAACGATTTTACAGAAGGAACAGCATACTTTTCCATTCGTTAACTATTCATTTACAACTAGAGAGCAGATGCATATGATTTCTTGTCTCTTTGTTACCCGTATCTGTTTCTCTATGTAGATACTTATACTCTTGTTTATTTCGCTTTGCGTCTTCGTATTTAGCCATTTAACTTTCGTATGATAGATTTTATTCTTCAATAAAGAACCTTTACTTTGTACAGATACGAGAAAAAATTAGATCATTCAACAAAACTATATTACTAAACAATCACAACGTTGCCAAAAACCATTGTTCGAGGGTGGTAAACAAGGTGACTTCGGATCGTTGCAACATAACTTACACTTACCGTTTGTATGAGCAACACGTGTCGCGCAACTTTGTCCAATACTTCCATTCAATGGACAAAGAATAAAATAATAATCTGAATTTGACATTGCTATGCATTTTTGATTCACACAGTTGCCGTGACAGGCAAACTGAGTCGGAGGCATTAATTGAGGATTCGGATTACAAGAATTTCGTTGATTGAGTCGACTATCTGGATTTGTTGGTTGAATCACGATCTTTTCTTGTTTATCATACATTAATTCACCATTTTGTACCATTCTATCGACATCATTCTCATTCACCGAATCAGCCCAGTGAATTGCTAAGCCAGCGCATGCTTGTTGAAATTCCAACCGAAGATGTGATGTATTTTGAATCACATCTTGTCGTTCTAGTTTGAAAACACGAATTTCTTCCACACCACTCACATCGACTGGAAGATCGGGCATCGAAAGGCCATTGTCGGCTGATTTCATGGAAGCCATCTTCGAGTGAGCAATTCGTGTTGCTGGTTCCATGTTGGACAGCTGACATCTTTGACTTTTCACATCTTTGATCAGTTGAAGACCCGAACGAAAATCCAGATAAGCCATGATGTGAGCACGATCACCATGTTGAGGTACTTCGATGACGTGGAGATCGTCATAATGAGTAACAGTCTGTTCGATGAACATTCCATTTTCAATAATGCCAACAGTACGATGTTGTTTTAATGCTGTAGCAAACGCAGCACAAGTT